AAATTATTCAATGAACCCACCACATAACTTGCGGCACGGAAGGTTCTTCGGGCTAGAGAAGCCGCCTCTAACTGCCATTCTCGAGTTTGCCAAACCACAAGAACCATCTCCCATGGAAGTATAGTAGTGGCTGAAATAGTCTCGCCGCCACATCACCACATCACCAGTAGAACATTATGTTAATTATGTTAAGGTCTTCGGTTAACATAATTTTCTTGTAGTGTCCTATACAAGTAATTAGAGGTTTCATTTCATGAGAAAGAGAAGGTATTATTCGGATCCGAAATGGCGTGGCCCAAAACAATTTGACCAATCATACCCAATCTTAAATCGTATCGAATCGGATGGGATCTCTCATGTCCGAAGGCCCTAAACCTTAGCTAATCAACAACAGCAATCAAAATTCGAACGTAATTTTCTTTTGTTATTTGAATATGACTGCACACTTTTTTCTTGGTAAAGATGACTCCACATTTTTCCATTCTCGTAAATGCTCCCTTTTTAAGAATTTTTTTTATGTTATCCCCCACATTAATATCATCTCTAAACCCACCACGAACCAATCCACTTTATGTTAACTTTGTTTGGCAAATTCAATCTACTATAATATCTAGATAAATTGAACTAATTGATTATTAATTTTTGCTATATATATATATTCAAAAGTAATATCAAAGTATAGACTATTTTTTTTTTTAAAACATCACTTTTTTTTAAACATCATCACTTAAGGTTGGTCAAATTATCATATATATATATTCAAAACTACTATCAAATATAAATCCATATGAGCTTTAATTATTATCATTTAAAAACCGAACCAGAATCCAAATTGTTCTGGAATCAGAGTAACCAAGACCATAGTTTGTTCCATTTCGAAAAAAAAATCGAAGCGGTTTTTAGTTAATAAACAAATACGAAACTCTCTTCCAAAATTAGCATTTGCCCTAAGTCTAACACACATTCTTACATGTCTCTCCGCGTGACCACCAAATAAAACCAGAGGCTCATATCAAAACTACCTAATAAAACCTCTTCTTCTCCAACCATCTTCCTTGAATTAAAACTTTTGGATTTTGATCTTTTTACAGGTTTCTTCACACTGAAACCTTAATCGTTTAATTCAATCTTCGTGTAAAAGACTTAGTTGATTCTTTGTTTTTGTTTCTCTCGCTGCCTTGCGGTTCAAGTAATCACAAGGCGGTGAGGAAAGGCAAAAAAAATAGTGAAAAACGATGAAGGCTATCGAAGTCAAAACGGGGATGAAAATACCTTGGGACGCACGCTATTCATTAAGTCTATTAATTTTGTTTTCATCAATTATTCTTCTTTGCAACGGCCAAGATTATGGAATGCCGGGCGAGGACGGAGGAGGAGGAGCTGAACCACCGCCTGAGATGGCGCATTGTAACGGTATTTTCATGAGCTATAACTTTGGAAGCCGCGAAAGAGAGTACCCTCACGTCAAGAACGTGACCGCGCAATCGTGGGCGTTTAAAGCGACTGCGATGATTGTAAACGGGGGTAGGGAAGAGCTCAAGGGATGGCAAATGTTCATAGGGTTCCGTCATAAAGAGCTGATCGTTTCTGCGACTGGTGCGGCTCCAATGGACGGGGATTATCCTCTGGATGCTAGCAATGGAACTACGTTTGTAGGATCGCCAAACACGGATTTGAAAACCTCGATTGAAACTGCTGGTGATTTCACTCAGATATCTACGAATATCGAAATCACTGGAACTCTTTTCGGGGTTGCAAAAGGCGTCACGCCCATGCCGAGAACTATTAAGCTCACCAACGACGGTTGGGAATGCCCCGCCGCGAAGAGAAAAGGTTAGATGATCAGACTCGATTGTTTCAAACGCAAGTAACTTATGTTTGCATTTAATTAGGTCAAATATTTCGTTACATTTTGAAACACAACGTTTTTTTATTTATTTATATCATCTTTTGAAAATTGTTAAGGCAATGCAGCATGTAATCTCGCATTTACATTTGCAATTTGTGAGCGTGGTTTTTCAAATGAGTTTTGGTTTCTTGCGCAGGAGGCAGTATGAACGTTTGTTGCAAGAGAAACCCTAAGTTCAAGAACAAGATTGGACTAAAGACAAAGTTTGCACCGAGAAGGTACGGTGATCTGAACATAGTCTATGATGTTCTGCAATCATTCGACAGCAACTACTTAGCCCAAGTGACAATCGACAACGATAGTCCGCTCGGGCGGCTAGACCGATGGAACTTGACTTGGGAATGGACGCGAGGAGAGTTTATAAACACGATGCGAGGAGCTTACACTCACAAGAAAGATCCATCTGAATGCCTTTACAGCAAAGCTGGACAGTATTACAAAGACTTAGATTTCTCTCAGGTTATGAATTGTCAGAAAAAGCCAGCCATTTCCGATTTGCCTCCTGAGAAAAAGGACGATAACGTGACCGGAAAGTTACCTTTCTGTTGTAAAAACGGAACTCTCTTGCCACCTCTTATGGATCCTTCGAAAGCTCGATCTATGTTTCAATTGCAGGTAGATAATTTATTTCGCCGAAATATGTCAAGAATCGCGGATATTTAGGGTTTTCAAGTTTTGTTTTTTTGGTGTCTCAATTTGTTAGGTTTTCAAGTTGCCTCCTGATCAAAACAGAACAGCTCTATACCCACCTCAGCATTGGAAAATCGATGGAGTTCTCAATCCACAGTACAAATGCGGGCCACCGGTTCGGGTTGACCCTTCTCAGTTCCCAGATTCTAGCGGTCTACCGGCTATAACCTACGCAATTGTCAGCTGGCAAGTGGTCTGCAACATAACCAAACCCAAAGCTCAGGCCGCAAGATGTTGTGTCTCTTTCTCTGCATTTTACAACAACTCTGCAATTCCTTGCAACACTTGCGCATGCGGATGCAACGACATCGATACCGACACTTGCAATGCTGACCGTAACCCGCTCCTCCTCCCTCCGGACGCCCTCCTCGTTCCATTCGAGAACCGAACCCTAAAAGCAAGAGCTTGGGCTAAGCAAAACCACATGCCAATGCCCAAGAAACTGCCTTGTCCGGATAACTGCGGAGTCAGCATTAACTGGCACGTTAACACGGATTACAGAAACGGTTGGACCGCGAGGTTAACCGTTTTCAATTGGAGAGAATTCGCGTTCGAGGATTGGTTTGTGGCGGTTGAGATGGGTAGATCAGGTCCAGGGTATGAAAACGTTTACTCCTTTAACGGCACACGTGTTCCACCAAACAATAGAACCGTTCTGTTCCAAGGCTTGCCTGGTATGAACTATCTTGTGGGTCAAGTTAACGGAACAAATCCATTAAGAGACCCTGCCGTGCCTGGAAAGCAACAATCTGTTATCTCCTTCACCAAGAAGAACATCAATGGACTGAATATACCCCAAGGAGACGGTTTCCCGACCAAACTTTTCTTCAACGGAGAAGAATGCGCGCTTCCAAAACATTTCCCAAAGAAGAGCTCAGGACATAGACGCGGTATCAGCGTTTTGATGTCACTTGTTTTCGCAACAATAGCGGCTTTTGCACTAATGATGGATTAATTACTTAAAGTGATAACCAAAGTTAGCATTATTGGTCAGTTTTCGATCTTCGAATTCTAAAGATTGGTGTTTTGATGAAGTTGCTAAACAGAGGAAGGATCAAAAAGAGCAGATGTGGAGAGATCTTTGTAATATGATTGATCTATATTGAAAAAAAAAATGGACATATTGTATTAATACTTTTGTTTGGTCTATAAAAGTATTCATGTGTATGTTGTTCTCTGGTAAAATCCCAAATGCTCAGAAAAATGTCGGCTCTTTAGTTTTTTGACATGAAGAAGATCTTAGTCTTTTAATTTTAAGTTCTTGTGAAATGTCTGTTTGTTCTTGAACATCTTTTGTCCGAAATATAATAATTAAATATAACATCAAAGATTCGGAAGCAAAGAACAAAAGCCATTGACAGAAGCAAGTCACATAAGATTCCAAAACTGAAACACTTCTTCAAAGCAGGCATTTATGCTTTGCTTAGAATCTGAGAAAGACGATTAAAAAAAGCTTCTCTGCAACATTTCCTTAAAAGCTTTACCTTTATATAAACCCTATTGCCTTTCATCATCTCTCATCAAACCCTATACCACACTAAATTCACATACATTCTCTCTAACACCTTTTGTAATCACATTGCCTTTTCTTCAGTTTAAGAAATGGTTCGAGACCTAAAGTACATGATGCTTCGTGGGTTCGGTCTCGTGTGTCTGTTCATGATCGTTAACAAAGCCGACGCTAGAGAGTTTGCGGTCGGCGGGTCAAACGGTTGGACCGTTCCTTCCGGTTCTCAAGTGTACAGTCAATGGGCAGAACAGAGCAGATTCCAAATCGGTGACTCTCTGCGTAAGTTTTCACTTCTGTACTAATACTACTCGATTGGAAAACGGAATCATGTTTCCTTTCACATATGACACAAAAATGTATACAATTGCAGTGTTCGTCTACCAGCCAAACCAAGATTCGGTGCTTCAAGTCACAAGAGACGCTTACGACAGCTGCCACACAGACGCACCAACCGCAAAATTCGCCGATGGCAAAACTTCCTTCGCGCTAACCCACTCTGGGCCTTACTATTTCATCAGCGGAAACAAAGACAACTGCAAGAAAAACGAGAAGCTCGTGGTCATCGTCATGGCTGATAGAAGCGGCAACAACAAAGCCACACCATCATCACCTCCGTCTCCAGCCCCGGCTCCCTCGGGGGAATCCGCTCCTTCTCCCCCTGTGACCGGAACCAATGACATGCCCCCATCACCTACGCCTACTCCGTCTCAAGAAACTCCAAACAACTCAGCTTCTCCCTCTTCCTTTGTCGCTGCTCTTCTTGGGGCTGCTCTTGCTTCCACTCTATTCCTACACTAAGATA